ATCGCTCTCTCTCTCTCTCTCTCTCTCTCTCTCTCTCTCTCTCAATTTATCTATCACTATCTCTATGACTATCTATCTCTCTCGGGCGCGCGCACGTACATGTGTTCACTATGGTCCGCTCGGAGGCGCTCCATAGAGCGATGGTGGGGCTGTGACGGACTGGAAGCCTCGGTTATCTCTCTCTCTCTCTCTCTCTCTCTCTCTCTCTCTCTCTCCCTCTCTCTCTCTTCTCTCTCTCTCTCTCTCTCTCTCTCTTGCTCGCTCCGTTCCATTTGGGAACCGAGGGGAGATTGGGCCATGTAGCCGTAGCCGATGCGCCGGCCACGGCATCCCTCAGTCTTGTTACTGCGCTCGTAGAGTACGGAAGGACGCGAGCAAGGAGATGCTCCTTACCGACGAACCTCGAGCTTAGGTTGATTGGAGTGCGCGCTGCGAATGGGGAACCGGCGCCGGGCCCTAAGTGGATTTGTTAGTCTGTGCTAGTGGAGCAATTGTCCTACAACTTGGCGAACTTGCGTATTTCGTACGAGCGGCTGGACCCGAGAGTGCCCGAGACTGTCCTTAACCAAACGTCCCAGACGACAAAAGCGGTTATCGAGTGAAGAATGAGCGTGGAGACGAGCGTGGACCTTGTGTGGGAGCCGTCGACGCAATTGAGCTCTCTCGATTGCTGGGACTACTCGATCGAGCTCGATTGCTTACGCGGCCCTGAAGGTAGGCTATCGGTTGCGTACCTCGACCCCATAAACATCCCCATAACGCATTAGAGCAATTGGACCATCATCGAGAGGAGCTTATCGAGGTGCGAAGGGAAGCCGATAAAGATCTACTTACTATTGCAAAATATTGTTTTGCGAGGCTTCCCTCGCACCATCTACTTTCCTTTTTTCCCTCGTACAATTAGCTATGGAGTAAATACGCGTGTAGTTGCGGGGCTTGTTGCTACGCTCGAAAACAAAATCTTATTTATCTTATCGATTAACCTCCCTCCTACGACGCTTTACCGAATCCTTACGTATCAATGACATTACAATGTGCACTTTTCATTGGCCAATTGCAAGTTGTCGCTGATAATTGTCAATATTGCGCAATAAATGTCAGCGGGATAACACGTTTACAGGCTAATTTTGTAAAGCATTCGTAGGCAAAAGCGCGTACTGATGATGGTAAGATTAGAAAAATTTTAAGGAAAATTCCAATGTAACTCGGACGTGTTTATGCAGTACTCGAGTAATAGTAATTGAAACTTGGCGGCTTTATGACAACGATACTTTTAAAAATTTCCATTTACCAGCCACTCTTATTCTAATAAACAATACATGTCGCAGGCATTTATTATTTCAATTAATATTTTGTAATGCCAGTTTCTTTTCACCTAATTATCAATATTATAATCGATTATAATAATAACGATAAGCAGCGTGTATTACAAGCCTTAGAAATAATTCTATTTACAAATGGTTCGTAAATTTTAACATGTTAAGACTGTTGTTTTTATTGCTTTTTAAGAATTCATTGTCGACTACGGACGGCAAATCTTTTCTTCTTGTTTTATTTATTTATTTATTTATTTATTTATTTATTTATTTTTTTTTATTATTTTTTTTTCTTCACCGTTATTTCAACCTTTTTCTCTTTTATTTATTTTTATTTTTTTATTTCGTTTTAGTTGAAATTCTCGAATTAACTTTACAGTCAAATACCATTCATATTTACTAGAATCTTATTCCGATACAATGCGAAGGTTTCTGTACGACACTTTAAGCATAACAAGCAAATACAAATTAACTAATCGATTAATTCTGAAGAGAAAAATGGGGAAAAAATGGAGAAAAAAAACACACACACAATAATTAAATAAAAATACATTTTGTGAGGCTTGTGGGGGGGGGGGGGGGGGAAAATTTTTAAAAATTGTGCATGAAAATTTTTAATAATTGGGCAATATATTTGCCAAGTTAATCGCACAATGGCAATTGACCAGAATGCCATATTAAGCTTAAATTTTAAATAAATAAACGGAAAAATCACATGGACGGCTCTCTATTAAGCTACGTAAATCATTAGTAAATCAGATCGGTGAATCAATTTACAATGGAAAAAAAAAAAACGACTTTAGATCGCCGGAGTGCTGGAATTCAACTGCTCCCACATAGTTGTGGCGGGGGGGGGGGGGGGGGGGGGGGGGGGGGGGGGGGGGGGGGGGGGCGAGCAAAAGTCGTGCCTCGTTCGAAACCCTTCTCGGATGGAATGTTGTTGCATCCGGAACCGGCCTCGATTACAGATTGAAAAATAAGCGCGAGCCAACGGCTTTCATTAAAATTTATAATCCACGTGCGTGATGCAAAGTGCCGCTAAGTATCAGCAACGACGCAGCAAGAGTGGCATTTGTCGAGCCGAGCGCGCGATAAATTGCGCGGGTCGATAAAGCAGGTCTCGCGATAAAGCGGCGAAATTCAGAATGGCGTTTAAGCGATGGGCTTAGGCACTTTTATCACATTAGCGATGATAAGGGAAAAGGCGCGTAACACTTTCGCGGATTCGTATCGAACCATCGCTAGGATCCTGGAGCGCGACAACTCCGATCCCTACCGCTCTCCTTAATAATGCAATAATAACAATAATAACAATAACAATAACAATAATAACAATAATAACAATAACAATAACAATAATAATAACAATAATAATAATAACGATAAGATATCTCTCTTGTTCGGCCAATAAAGCGCTCTTTTTTCAAATTTCTCCTAAATTGGCAATCACTTTCCGCTTCGATTATTATTCATAAATACGAAGAAATTAAAAGTCCTTTAGTTTTTCCGGCATTAACGACAACTGGCATTATTATTGGCGATCGCGCTGCACTTTTAGCGACAATTCGACTTTGCGAACGCTTGTTTGGCTTCCTTAACGGGATACGAATTCTTCATCGCGACTCGCGAGACAATGAAGCACGGTGGTGGCCGAGGATCGAGCGTCTTCGGTCAGACATTTCCCAGACCGACGACTCTGAACAAGCATGGGCTGGGAAAACCTAAGACTGCAAATAACGGCTAGACGAGAGATGGAGATAGAGAGAGAGAGAGAGAGAGAGAGAGAGAGAGAGCGAAAAGCTCGAGTCGCCTGCGTTTCGACTCCGATATTTGCCGATTAGTTAGTTGACCGAACGGGGCGATGGGATCGTATAGACTTTGCCTGGGCAAAGTAAACGAGCGAGGAATGTGATCGTTTAGTTTGCTGTAGGCGAGAAGGAGAGATGCATGTTCGCGCGGGTTACCGGCCTGGGAAACGGGAGCGCATTTCTATTGGCATTCGATTACTTGGTTTATTTTATTCCTTCATGTATCTCTCTCTCTCTCTCTCTCTCTCGTCATTCGGCCGTCCGTTTCTCTCATTCCCGCGCACCGCAGCTATGCGCCTTACACTCGCTTGGCGCGATCCACCTTAACAACGGGGGGCAACGAGGGTTGGTGAGGAGCAGGAGGAGGGTGGATGTAGAGGAAGACCGAAAAACTAAAAATTACCACGTGCTCTTCTCGTCCCGAGGAGACGAACGATTTTCAAAATCGTTCGTCTCCTCGAAAGTTTCAGTCGATACTACGACGAAAGGCAGAGGCCAAAAGCCACTCCTTACAGGATCAACAAAATTCTAAGATTTACATCGGTCGGATTCAATATTATAAACTACTTTCGTCCGTCGATTGCGCCGATTACAAAACCAATGCACATCTGACGTTGATTTTGTAAAATAATTCTTATTACAGTGAGATTAACGAGATAAGGGTAAGGATTTTCAGAACGGGGACTTGATAGGGGTAACGGGATTGACGGGATTCAGGAGCGACGGGCTACGGATCATTGGCCATCGTAAATAACTACGTGCCTCTTTCATTTCGGAATTTTGTAATTATTAAAATTGATAAAATTACGGATCAGGCTGGAGCCGGTGGATTATCGGAATGCCGCTGACGAAGGATTTTGCCCGTCCCGATAATCACTTATCAATGTAATCGGGAAGCCTATTATTATTGTTGTTAATGTTATGATTGTCCCTGTTAATGTGGTAAGCGCGATTGGCTCGGTTAATTTGGCGCTACGTAGCTCTGGCCTCCGTTACGGCCGAATCGTTATTTCCGTAAAAATTTAGCAGCGAACGGCGGCTAGAGGCTCGATTATTTAATTTATGATTACAAGGAGAAAAAAGTCAACGATAATAGAGGTTGCCGACTTTGGCGAGCAATTTGTACGCACAGCCGGCCATCTCTGACTTTGGTCCATCGTATCATCATACGCGGGGACTCGCGAGCACGAGTGCGCGCCTACGCCGCGAGCGACGAGATCTCGTAGGGAGTGGGAGTCGTCGGGGTCGGGGAGGAAACGGTAGCCGATCGAGACCCAGCTGCCGGTCTCGAGGTCCTTAACCCAAG